TTTTAAATGCACCCATAAAGCCAGCTGTGTTTAGATCGCCAACGAGTTCTATATGCACAGCCTGAGTAGTCAGACATACAAAAACGTAGACGTAAGCTTTTGTGAATCTTATACCACGCCCGCGAGTGAGCGTGACCTTAAACGGAACAGCAAAATCAGACCCGGTGTGCGTAAAGGGCTTTACGGATTGTATTAATCGACAAGACCCAAGTTCCGCCATTTCCGGAAATGAAGGCTTGGGACGTACCCGAAAGCAAGCTATACATCTGTGCACCCGATTGCGGATTAAATTACGTGCTGCAAGAATCCAATAATTCTGACGCAAAATTGACATCAGCAAATCGGGGCCAGCGTGAGAATTCAATTTATGATGGTAATCAACTAATGAATTCATGATATGGTCTTTATGCGGTAAAACTATAGGGTGCCGTTGGTCGAAACTCAACTGCGAGTTGGACAAGCGTCCGCCTACCCTGACGATTTCATCTTGTAAAAATGGCTTAAGGCGATGAAAGGCGTGACTTCAAGTTCTATTCGATTGTAATCTCGTAATTTCCTCGAAAAAATGTGCACGTTGAAGTTCACTCAATACTAGCAACTCGTTGTAGTTGTAATCGGACGCTACGATATACGAACGTCGCGGTAAAAGCTTCAAGAAACGACAAACGTTAATCACGCTACGCAATAATTTCGAGCAAGAGGACAAATGGTTCGCCAAAACAATGATTGGAGAAAACTCGCTCGAAACGCTCGCTACCGGAGCGTGCCTCTTCTCTTCCGGCGGTTGTGACACTGACGAAGGGTCGAAATCGGTTATTGGCCATTGCGAGGGTTCCAATTGAACCCAAGAAGATTCGTGGAACCAAAGCGGATGGTCCATTATTTGCATCGGGGTGAGTCCACGGGACAGACATTTGGCAGGGTTTTACGCACCGGACACGTGATAAAAGTTCCGTGTTCCTAACTCGTCTTGGATCTTGGCCATTCGGTTCGCGACAAACGTATCCCAACGGTGGGGTGAAGAATGAACCCAACATAAAGCGACGGTTGAGTCAGAAAAGGCAAATATCCTTTCTATGTGAACTCTGTCACTACATGCACTGATAACTGCGCTGATAAGCTTGGTAAGAACTAATATCGTGCAAAGCTCTAAGCGCGCGAGGGAGACAACCTTACAGGGGGAGACTCTTGACTTAGAGCTAATGAGGCTGATCGAATTTCTATCATTATTCTGGACGTGAAAATATACAACAACAACAACGCCCCCGTAAGACTTCTCGCTAGCGTCTGCAAACCCAACGACCGTGATGACGCTATTTCTATCGACGTTTATGTGACGCGGTATTTTAATTTCGCTTAGTAATGGAAGTTCCTCTCTAAAACGCTGCCACGACCGAAAAATGCTATCAGGCGGCGGGTCATCCCAATCGCATTCACATAACCAAAGTTGTTTAATCAAAAGCTTAGCGTATAGTACCACCGGGGCTACGAAACCCATGACATCCCATAATCTAGCAACGCATGACAGCATTGTGTGCTTTGTGCACGTTTCTGCGGGCGGGTTTACCTTAAGGCTAAACAAGTCGGTCTCTGGTGACCAACACAAACCGAGCACCTTGTGCGTATCAGAATCGTCGAATTCTTTTATCGCCGAAAGACGGTGTGATAGTGGGATTGTATTTAAAACCGTACGCGAATTACTAGTCCACTTAACGAGATCGAATTGACCCGCTTTCATGAGCTTTATAACCTCGGCGGTGGTGAAGGTGGCCTCCTCCACTCTATTAACCGAATACACAAAATCATCCATATATAATCCACTTTCAATTGCCCTCTTAGCTTTAAGATAAGAAGGACCTTCATCGTAGGCGAGCTGTCTCACCGTGCGTAACACATGAAATGGGCTCGACTTTAAACCAAAGCAAACGCGGTTAAATTCAAACACCATTAGAGGTTCTATTGGGTCAAAACGATATAAAATGCGTTGGAATCGACGGTCGCAATCACGGACCCCTATGCAAAGAAACATTTGGCGAATATCGGCGGATAGTGCTATACTAAACAAACGAAAATTTACTATTATGTTGAATAAACTGCCCTATAAATTTTGCCCACTGTAGAGGATATCGTTAAGAGAAAGGTAAGTGCTAGTTTTAGCACTAGCGTCGAGAACTACACTTAACTTAGATGTAAGTTTGTCTTCCCTAATGACCCCGTGACTACGTATGAAATACGACCGTGTGTCTTCGTAGTTATCTAATTTTGGAGCCACAAGTGATATGTAACCCTCCCTCATATATTCATTAATGACGCCGTCATAAGCTTCCTTTAATCGTGGTGAGGCGAGCATCCTACGCTCCAAACTGTAAAAACGTTTTTCCGCCATTTGACGCAAATCGCCGGGAGATAAAACGTCTCCTTTAAAGGGTAGCGCTACACTATATCGACCATCGCGATCACGAACGGTCGTGCGGACGTAAATTTCCTCGCATAATCTATCATCTGGGCTAACTATAGGGGTACGTTCACCTCCTCCATCTTCCAAAATTTGCGGACTAACGACTCGAGCGGTTCAACAGCCATACAACAATAAGAGGTTAAATATTATCCATAATAGGGGCGGAGCCAACGATGACATAGCCCAAGACGTTTTTCAGTGCGTAAGGCGCGGTATGCGAAGAGTTGCCCCTGACCTTATTGTGTAACAAAAGATGAGGGGAAAGCGATGCTCCAATGAGCATGTCCATGTTTCCGGGGATGGCGTAGGTATCGTCTGCCAGCGTCAAATTTTCAAAATCAGTCATTGCCGAGGTGTCAACCGAAACTGTTGGCAGACGTTCAGTGACTTTATCTACTACTAACGCATTTATATCAAAGTTAACATTACGATCTAGCCGAGAATAAAATTTAAAATTTATATATCCCTGGGTAACTTTATTAGTACCTCCGATGCCTTTGCCTACGGGACATGTCCTATTTATTGGCAGCCCTAAACGCTGACAACATTGCCGCGTTATAAGGCTACTTTGAGATCCGCTGTCTAGCAATGTACGGACGCTTTGTTCGTTTCCACGCGAATCCCTAACTACGATACGGGCTGTACACAGTAACACGGTTGAAGGAGACTGTGGTCCCACACTCGATAATGAGCACAGAGCGACGTCACCAGGTCGACCGCTAGAATCGTCGACTTTAGTAGGTGTGATTTCCTTATTCGATTTACTTGACGCGGGTATGTCGTCGTTTTCTAAATGTAACAACGTGTGATGTCTGCTGGCGCACTTGTTACACACGGAGCTAGAATTGCATTTAGCAACTCAATGTCTATCGCTTAGACAATTGAAACACAAGTTGTTCGTCTTTACAATTTTATAACGTTTGCTGGTCGAATGTCTACGAAAGGTTGCACAATTATATAAATTACCGTGTTGTTTATTTTTACATAGAAAACAGGCATTATGAAGCGATGCAGGCGCAGCGGTTACGTACGTTAGAGGCCCTGCGGGTCTAGATGATGAAGTCTGTCTGCGGTCGGCACATTTCTTCATTCGAGAAGCGCTTTATTACTTTAATTTGATCTCGCACAAAGGATGCTAATAAATCGAATGACGGTAACTCAGAAGTACGATGCTCCAATTCAAATGCACGCACGGTGTTTGAATCTAATTTCTTTAAGGCGATATGGAGAAACACCACGTCCGTAATGTCATTAAATTTCAGGTTCCTAAGTGCAGCCACCGATGCTACAAATTTATCCAAAAATTGCTCTAAGCCGGTGATGTTTGCGGATGCAATAGCTTTAAGATCGAATATTTGGTCTAAATATGAAGAGGCTAACATTCGCTTATCTTCATATTTGTCCTTAAGTGTTTCAAATATTAATGAATAATTGTTTGCTGTTGGTGTGAAGCCCGAACAAATGGACTGTGCCTTACCGCTTAATTTACTAATTAAGAAATACAATTTTTCAGCGTCCGTTAACGATGGATTATTATGTATTTTGTTTTGAAAACTACTAGGGAAAAAGGCCATATTTTAATATCGCCATTGAATACCGGAATATCTATGGGGGGGGGGGGGGGCAATCTGAGTGGATCACGTGGGCGTACCTGGGCTTCCGGCTTTGCTTCGCTTTGAGAAGGGGACTGTAAGAGCTTTGCCGTTCTTTTCACGCGACACAACATATCTTCAAATGATAGCAGCGTCTGGTAATTTACTGTATACTTAGGGTTGATTTGTAATTCCAAATTATTGATTTGGTCTAATATCCTTTCGTAATCCGTCCGCAAAGAGTCCACGTTTCGATTTCACATAAAAACGTCTCCCGCACTGCTTCTACGTTAATATTCTTTCTGTGATCACTTATACACTGTATACGTGAAAAGAGTATGTCCCTCTTGTCGTAAAGAGTTTTAAGTTTAATTTCATTTCCACTAACTGCCATTTTAACACGCTCAGCGCCATGTGTATTGTTAATGATACACACTGTCAAAACATTGTGTATCGCTCACGATACACAGCCTACCTTTTGGTTTTTGCCTTGTGTATCCCTAATGCACACGCTTTCTACTGCTAAAAATCCTCTGGCCCAGGAGAGTTTTCTAGTTGTTTTGGGTTGGGGATAGGACATATTATATGGTTCTTGAGATATTGAAGATTTCATTTGGAAGAAAAAAAATTGTTTTTCACTAGTTTTATTTATAAAAAAATCTAAATTATAAACACATTTGTTACAACTAATAATCATCTTTAACAAGGAAAAACCTCCAGTAATCCTCTTATAACCATGTTTGAAAAAAAACTAAAAAATTTAGGAATTCTATGAGTATTCTGTTGTAGTGAGTTTTATTGAAACATTTTCGGCATAGAAATATATCACAGGTAGAGCACTTCGTTCCAACCTGTGCTGCTCTAACCTTCTTGCCATTTATATTTTTTCCCTCCCTTCCATACATATTATAACACTCTTTACAGCGTCCTCGAACCAACTTTTCACCGACCTAATTTTCTATGAGGTAGTGTTTCACATTCGGCGCCTTCCTTTTTGAAGATGATGTTGAAGGTACAGGTGCTATACCTACTCTCTGAGAACACTTGTCAATCATATCTAAAATAACCTGTTCTCGGAACTCTGTGATTGTAATTTTCTTTGCTGATGTATTTAGATTATAGAGGAAATGAGCTTTCACCAGAGAAGTTCCCCACAAAATTTCGATAAACAGCTTACGATACCATTTCGTACATCGCCTAAGAGCTGAGCCATATGTTGCCATATGATCACTTATATCGATCGAAGATTTTCCATTATTGTAGTCTACAATGCACTCCGGTTTGAGAATGGCTGGCTTATTCCTGTTCTGAACTGTAACTATCTTGAACGCAGATGTATTAGTAGACAGCATCCTTACATCACGCTTGTCTCGCCATTTCAGTGCTACTATCCCATCATTAGTTTGCTTGGCACACATCTCTCCTCTCTTCAGTTTCATAGACATAACGTCTTTTGGAAGGTGCTTTCTGTTAGCTCTTTGGGTTCCAACTAGGTGAGTCTTTCTGCGTCTCAGTCGATATGCTAGTTGTCCTATCTTCATCAAGCAGACCTTCTGCGAGAGACATGACTGTTTTTTCCGATACATCAGACTCTTTGGACTTGGATTTGCCGCAGTATACTTCCAGATTTTAAGTATATCCCTTGTCAGTGCATAATTTAAAAATTTTAATACCATATTTAGCAGCTTTATTTGGTATGTACTGGCGGAATATTAGTCTTTCGCGCCATGGAATAAGAGACTCATCAACGCAAATCTTATCTCCAGGAATATAGGCCTTTTTGTAATTTGAAATGAATTTATCAATGACATTCCTCACTTTTTTCAGTCTATCATCTGCATCTTCAATGCTGTTGTCTGAAAAGTGGATGTATTTCAAAATCAGCTCAAATTTATTTCTCGGCATAACGGATCTTGCTAGCGGTAATCCATATAGCCTATGAACTCTCCAATAATCCTTTATGCTTGGGAGTTTTACAAGGCCCATCCAACCAATAAGGGCAAGAAATTTTGTCATGTTATCCACCGTTACTGGGACCCATGCATGGGTTCGGCTGTTTGGAGTTGCATCCGTTGTAAGCAAATGTTGAGCAGCGTACAAATTAGTTTGGTCAACTACTTCCTCTAAAATATTTCTAGTCAGAAACGGTTCAAAATAGTCCAATGGCTTTGCATGAGCTAGAATGCCAGAGAATATATCCTTCATCCCAGAGAATGGAACAGTGTACTCGATACTTTCTGGATCTTCATGTGATGGCATCTCCCATTTTGTGTTTTCCAACTTTCGTTTTAGCCAAGTCATCTCTGTTATTTCAAGAGATGTTGTACCAGAGGAACTTGCAATATTAGCTTCTGAGCTTAGAGTCTCTGCCAACTGTGTCCTTAGTGTTCTACGTCTCTGTATATTAGGAAGAGAGTGCAACAAATCATCTGAAAATGTGGATTGTCTCCTTTGTGGAGTAAGTAGATTCCAGGTTTCTGATGCTGAATCTGATTCGCTGCTTTCCTTTTCGGAGCCGTCATCACAGGGATTATAGTTAAGATCGTATGTAGAGTCGTCGCTATCAAAGTCCATTTTTTATTTTGTTCTAAATGCACTTTACACGGATATTTCACAATTATTCTGAAACAAATGAAAACAAATTTACGGAAACTATTATAACCGCTCGATTGCTTGCGTAAAAACAATTGGTAGCATACTTTGCCAGTAAGTCGGAACTGTGTTTCTCACGTTCGACCCGCCGTCAACAAAACTTAATTTATGACTTACTCGAGAGGAGCACTTCAAATATTTTAAATTTTGTGAATAGCCATTGAAATAAGAAAAGAAAATACGTGTGTTATTCTCTCAGAATATGATTACAGTAATATTTTAGAGCTGTTGAAATCACAAATACAAGCCATTTTAGCGACTATTTGTAAAATATCGGGTTTATCAAAAAAACAAGATAGATAAGTGTATGATTATTCATTATATCCTTAAACTTAATGAATTACTTGATATATTTATCTATATTATAAAACGATTTATATTTAAATACATAGTAAAAATCTTAAGTGAAACCTGATGAAGAATTCACGGATTGCGCAATCGATCGCTCTTTGTTAGTTAAAATCTAGGCTGTTATTACATAAAAACTTATATTATAATATGATGAACAATTTATAAAACTTTATAACTTAAATTTAATAATTATATTCAAATACCACTACGACTATTTCGTATTTAAAGAATACAACATAATAACGGTAATGTAAGCTATAGAAAATTATGTTTAGATTCGCGTCATTCCGTGTTTAACGAAAGAAAAATTAAATTAATGTGTATCTATAACGATACACATGGCCTGGGAAAATGGTTTTGAGTCAAAACTTTTTCTTAGGCCACGTGTATCATTATCGATACACAGCGAAAAATAAGGGGGGGAGTGGTGGGGAGGGGAAGAAAATAAATTATTATAAACTCTAGGACACTAAAAGCTCATATAGAATACTTTTAAATTTTTGTCTCAAATCGTCTGAACATCGAGTCTTAGCTTGGCGCTGAGCGTGTTAAATTACTATAATTAATATTAGATTAATCACAATTAATCGCACAACGCTGGAGGATGGACACAATGTAATATAACTATATCTCACAACACTATTGTCTTATCGTGCCGTATTACGTCGTTAAATTGAACACCTTTGCAATGAAACGAGGTGACGCGCGTCGATAGGTAAGCTAAACTCACACTGTTTTTTTTTTGTTACAAATGTCGGGTAGGCCGAATAATCCGTGCGGAACTAAACTATTTTAAATAAATAAGTCGATTCACTTATGCGAGTAACCAATAAATTCCAAACTCAAACCAAACAAACACTATTTAAATGAATAATTCTATTTGCGAATAAAACTAACCAAATTTTAAATTTAAACTAAGCGAACACTATTTGAATCTATTCAATTTTAAATTAGAGTGCATTGTCTAAGGAATTAATCTAGAAATTCGATGATTGAATGGTTGGTGAGGCTATAAGACACCAGTCCAAATCCGGCCGAAGGATTAGAAAATGGTTGGGCGGCGGGCCTTAAGGTTGCCGAGTCACAATTCCCCGGTCGAGCCCTGACCCTACTACGCGAGATGCTTTACTAGATGGACTGTATACGCTGTTGGCTTCTTTTGCTTCAACAAAATGGCGGGTGTAGCATGCGGTTCCTTGAAAATGCACTCGCTCTTCCAAAAAAAAAAAACCTATTGCTTGTCAAGGTTTATGAAGAAACTCTGCTTGATCACTTTAAGAGAAATGAAATTGGGCGGATTAACTAATAAAACACAAATATTCAAGCAGGAGTCATAAGGAAGAAGAACACTTACCGGGATGTTACTGCGATGCGGCTTGGACGCTGCGGTGCTACTTCTGGCGGATCTCCTGGGGCCCCAGGAATGCGGTCCTGGTCGGTGGTGCGGTAGAAGAGAGCGGTGCGCGACGATATCTCACTCGGTGAGGCGGTCACTTCTGGAGCTCGACTGCTCCAGGTGGTGCGGTGGAAGACTAGCGGTGCGCGTGGGCAAGAGCCCTCTAGGACGCGACTGTCCCAGGCAGTCTTCTTCCAACCAGCGGCGCAAAGGGAAGAGAACGCACGAGGGCCGTGTGCTAGCTTATATTACTTCGGCCCCCCTATCAATGCGTCTCGGAGGGGCGCGCTTCTCATTGGTTGCAAATCACGCTACATTCTAGAATTATCTTCTTTCCTCTCTCACCTCACACCCCGGTGTGTAAGGAAAGGATAGGTGAAGGAAAGGAATGCTTGACAAGCCTACCTTCGAATAAAAATAAAAATACGAATGGTTTTCCGCGCAACCAAGTATTTTATTTTAAAATGGAATTCGCTTAAGAAAATATCAGTGTCATTATTTAGATCAAATTTAATTACATGAACCAACGTTCTCAATGCCCAAAAACTTTAATGAAATCGTGCTCTGAACGTAAGCGATGTCGTGGTTCGCCGTTATCTTTACGCACAAAAATTTTCCCTTCCCGAGTCCACGTGTACTTCCACTGAGCCCGCTTGCATTCTACGCGTGCCTTGTAAAACAATTGTCGGTTAAATTTGGTCAACCTTTCATTGATATGGAATGGAGATACGGAAGAATCGAGTCCTAGGCCCTCCGTGGTAGTGCCGCGACGAACGCGCGCCGCCACCAGCAGACTGTCTCGGTGCGTGCGGCGCGCCAGCCGAACCACTAAGGGCCGGGGCTGTACACTACGGTTTTGAACCATTGCCCACCGAATAGGCCCTGCACGCTCCGCATTCACGAGATCTCGATCCTCTAGAGTGACTCCCAACTTAGTAGCTACTGCCAGTACCAGATGAACGGATCGTTCGTTTTTTTCTCTGGTATTCCCGAGATCTCAATGTCATTACACAGCAACTCTTGGTCTCGATCGTTGAGTTCCGCCTTTAAATCAGCAATTATGGTTTATAAATTACAGGGGTCATCTAATTTTCTACTGTTCTGATGACATTCCACGGTCTCCACTCGAGCTTCGAGGCTGTCAAGTCGCTGGTTTCATCTGCTAATAGCCACAACAAGATTTGTGATGGTGCCCTTTAATTCCTACATATTAATGCACATCTCCTTTAGCTCTTGCCGTAATAATCTTAGTTCAGTCGCCAATTCAGTGGACTCTATATCCGATGTAGTTGAGGTATATGCAGTTGGAACCGATGGACTCGGTTTATTGGCACGACCACGTAAGGTGACATTCGTACAGCTGAAATCCATTAAATCCTGCTTAATAGGCGTGTTTTTGTTATTAGACTTCGGTTTCCTGCTTAAACATTCATGACATTTCCATTTTTGTTTATGTTCTGTAGTCATGGTATTATAGAATCGTTTTTCACATACATTTGCGCACAGGAGGTTATAATGCTTGGTGCAAACTTAACACTTTAAAAACTGCCTGCTAATAATTTCTTGTGAACATCCATTACAAAGGACTTTATTCATAGTTGGAGGCGCCATCTTTCTCTTTGCAAGGGTAAACTCGAGTAGTAAGGTAATTCAATTAAGCGGGTGAAAAATATTGATTATTGTGATTCTATGAATTACTTCTAGATGGCGCCGTTACACAAATCTTTAATTCCCTATGAGATATGAGTAAATGTTAAATTATACTGAGTAGGTATATAAATATAGCCGTCACAAGATTAAGTATTAAGGTTACTAAGTATTTAAAGTGCTGAAGATAATTACTAATGGTATTGTTGCGTGAATAAGTCAACGTCATACACTAGCGCCATCTAGTGTCAGGAACGAGAGCGAGGGGAGCTTTGCAGAAAATGATATCACAAATCTTTCAACCGACAGCGCCATCCGAAGAACTAAGTTTCTAGAAAATCTACACTCGAACACTCGTCGCTTTGCGCGCATTTACTTGAATATTCCGGATGCTTCATTGCTAATTTGTATAAATAGACGCTGCAAGATGCGATCGGGGCAGTATTGGATTTGGCGAGACAAGCGAAGCTTCGGAGCGGAATAAAGTGAATTAGTGTGTTTAATTATTAGTGTTTTAAGTTTTAATTTGTGTGAAGTAAATTAAAGTGTTAATTTAGGTAATTTTATCGGCAATTTTTATTGTCACGAACCTCAAGCTCGTAACAATTGGTGTCAGAAGTGGGATAAAATCATGCCGATTTTACCTAAGGACGAGATGGAGGGTGTCCGTACCCGAAGTCAACGCCAGCAGGAGACGGACCAGAGGAGATTTGGTGGTGCAACGCCGCAGATGTCTGAGGGCCGGCCGCCGGCCACGGAAGCCGGCCCGTCAGCAGCTTCTACGTCTGTGGCACCTGACTTAGGTGCTCTGATGGTGATGCTGCAGCAGCTGCAGCGCGGACAGGAGGAACAGGCCCGCCGATTGGAAGAGCAGCTGCGGGGCGGACAGGAGGAACAGGCCCGCTGGCGGGAGGAACAGGCCCGCCGGCAGGAGGAACAGGCCCGCCGGCAGGAGGAACAGGCCCGCCGGCAGGAGGAACAGGCCCGTCGTTTAGAAGAGCAACTCCAACGCGATAAGGAAGAGCAGATGCTCCTTATGAAATACCTTCACGCTACCTTCCGAAAAGAGATACGGGAGGTTAAGGATAAGGTTGCTCAACATGACAACCGCCTGTCGGACGCTGAAACCCGAATCGACCAAGTAAACAATCGGGTTGACAACGTAATGGCTGACGTGAAGAAAACGTTGGACGAACTCAAACTTGGGGAGGGAACTACAGCTCCCGTAGTAGCTACTACACCTTCGCTACGTAGGTTCAAGGTGCCACCATTCGACGGGACTTCTTTCTGGTCAGCCTACAAAATCCAGTTCGAAGCTGTTATGAAGGCGAACGGCTGGAATGAAAATCAGGCCATGACTGCTCTCACACTAGGCCTGCGTGACCAGGCCTTAACAGTTCTGGAAGCTCTCGGTGAGGAAGTGACTTATGAGCAACTCCTTAAGGCATTGGAGGCGAGATATGGCGACGCTCACCTGGAACACGTCTTTCGTGTGCTGCTTAAAGATCGTGTGCAGCGTATCAACGAA